CCTGTTGTATAATTGGATTACTCGACGAACACATCGCTCGCTTCAAATCGCGATAAAGTAAGTCATTGTTTTTGTCCAGAAAGCCGTCGATATTATACACCACTTCTCCCGCATAGTGTTTGAGTCGAAATTGCTTTTGGGATCAAATTGTATGCATATTTAGTATATGTTATTGAATGGATAATTGTGTGCAAATTTACATCTCTTTCGAGTATTTTTTTCGTCTTATTGTCCGCAATATTATGGCTACAAAAGTGTGGATGAGTTCCCACAATAAGCTCAAGTTTCTGTAAAAATGTGTTATCGCTGGCGTCTCCCGGACGCAGACATTCCTCGTCTGTATAGATAACAGAGAAATGAAATGTCAATTATATATAAATATAATTAATTATTTGCGATTGATTTCTAACCTAAAAGAGCAATAATTCCTTTGTGTCGCTCTTCAATGAGATCACAAATGATGCGATTATTGAAATACTCGATCGGTTCCCACTATATATCAACACAATATAATAAATACAATAAATTATAGCGAATGACAAATTATGAACAAATATTGGTTGTTATGGTTGAGTGAGTTCTCACCTCAATCTTCTCGCGCCGATACTCTTCCTGTTCAGACTTGAGGGTCAGTTCAATGAATAGTTGCTGCAGTTTTTCATTGCAGTAATTGATGCAAAACTGTTCAAAACTATTCCTCTCGAATATCTCGAAGCCATAGATATCTAGTAAACCCATTAATGTCTTTCTGGTTTTATGTCCGCGCGATTCAAGCGATTCATTCAATTTGCTCACTAACCACGAGAAGAGTCTGTCGTATACAGCCTTTGCCAACGCATCCCTCGCATAGATGGCCTGATCTCTGGTCAACGGAGTGCTCACAAACTCACCCCTGGCCTCAATGGTCCGGTTAGTAAACGCGTGTTGCAACAGGTCTTCCTTACATTGCAATAGATTGCAAATATGGGACACAGTCTTGAGCTGAGCGATCACAGCCTCGCCATTCTCTTCGTAAAAGCCAGTGTTTCCCATATGAAGAACCGATGCGACAATCGATAGGATGGTTGTCTCCTCATTGACACCAAAGCCAAACGTCTTGAAAGCACTCTTAACCACATTATACTGTTTGGAGTCATCGATTCCGGAGAGTTCTTCGCTGTCGCCTTGATTTAGATAGAAATAGCTCTGAGGATCACGTCTTAGGAAGAGCTGTGTGAGTGTCTGGTCGTCGGCGCCGTTCAATAACTCGTAAAATATATGGAAATTTCGTTCGCCTTTATTCTGATGGATAACTCGAGACTTTTCTAACAAGTAGTTATTGATGTG